ACTCTCATGTAGACTGAGAACGCTTCAGCCTTGCTGGCTGTAGACTTCTTCCCTTCAGCTGTTAGCCATTTCCAGGCCCAAGCATCCAAAACAACTTGCTGCACCTTCTCGTCAACAGCTGGATGAAAAAGCCCACAGGCCCCGGAGCAGGATTCCTCAGTACAGAAACGAAGGGCAGGAATGAGCGCGATGATGTGCTTTACCGGGCCGGATTGAAGGTCTTCCCATGTGTCCGTGGCATCGGCAAAAGCTTGAATACGGATCACCTCAGTGTCTACCTTAGGCATCGTGAGAGCCTTTGAAGTGGTTTTCTTCTCAATGCTGATGTCACCTAAAGAAACAAGCGAACCGCGAATGATGATTGGTTCCTGCGTTGGCTTGTACACTGCGGACCAATGAATGTGCTCAATACGCGAATCAGCGTCCGGGTTTGCAAGCTCTCCAATGGTGAGCAAGCCAAAAGCATCAGTACTAAGGTTCTTGCGGTCTTTAAGGAAGGCAAGAGCTTCCTCTTCGGTGACAATTGCAATGCCCCTTTGGTCAGGACGTAGGGTCTGCAAGCTGATCATGCCAAGTGGCTCGTCGGCTGCATCAAAAAATGTGTTTGGAAGCAATTCCAAGGTTGCAGGAGTGATGTTGAGCGGCGTTTCAACTCTCTTGCCCCGGTTGCCATGCTGCACCTGTTTGGCAGCAGTGCCATACCTGACCTCACTTCGCTTGGCAATGTGAGCCTGGAGCTCTTCATACTGTACCCACTGGAATGGCTTGCTCAGTGCTCCCCCTGCCTGTTTCAGCGCTCTCCACGGGTCGGTCGTGGAGATAGCTGAATCCAAAGCATCAATGCCAAGTTTCTTGATAGCAGCTGAGGCTCTTGACTTGGCTGCTTCGATCGGAACACCTTTTGTTGGCAGGAAGTTTTCCAGCCATGCCTGAATTGCTTCTGCCTTAGTCGGACCCCCGCCTCTACGAAGCTGGCGCTGAAAAAGCACCTCGTTCCAGAGCTGTGCAGTGGTTTCGTCACAAGCGTCCCAAAGTCCTAAGCAAAAGCCGACGTGCAAAAGAGCTATCGCTCCACAGTGAGTGCCTCCTGTCTGAGGGACTATGCAGTGCGAGTCAACAGACACGCTGGCGCAGCTCAAAGCATACTGAAATCTTTGGAACAAAATGGTCAAATCAGCAGTGACTTCGGAGGAGAGGCCGTCAAAGGAAGTGGCTTTCAACTGATCTCCCTGGCGCTCCACACGAAAAGCAATCCAGTGACCCAAATCCCACAGAACCCCAATGGCTGCTTGTTTGCCCTCCAGTGCTCGAAGTATCTCCAGTTGGGCAAAACGCGGCCAAACTTCCAAAACGTGCGAAACAAATCTTGGTGTGAAAAAGGCATACTGTGAACATGAAGACTTGGCAAAGAGTCTCATCGCCTGGTGGTGAATGGTATAGTCATCCAAACCCTCTCTTGGAACAAGAACCGCAGGCTCATCCATGTCTATTGTGAAAGGCTTTCTACCTTGCCCAACTAATCGAGCTCTAATGCTGACAGGTCCTGGCGGGACGTACCCTTGCGGATGCAACCAAGCTGCGTCAGGAGGATCGAGCTCCAGATGCTCACCAATGAGATGTCCTGTGGCGTCAAGGAGGGTCCGAATCGATGTGGTCTGGTGCAGTGTCACTTGCATCGGCGGTTGGTGTTCAATGGCAATTGACACCGGCCGTGGCACAGCATGCGATCTGGTTGGCCATTGCCTCAAGTGATCATCTACATGATGCAGCACGATTCTCTCATGTGCCTGTTCAGGCGTGAGATCACCCAACAAGCCATTGGCTTCTTGCATCAAAACTAAGATCCAGTGTGCCTGGATGGGCGAAGCAATTTGTCCAAGCAAAGGCAAAAGCGCCTTGCGGCCCTCCAATGCGACTAAACCAAATGGTGCCCCTACAAGAAAAGCAGCTTCATTGTGGTGCAAATGCCTGAGTCCTATCAATGGGTGTCTTGACTGCACTAGTGTGGCTTGCCAGCCTCGTGCACGTAAGGTGGCATCACTAATCGGTCCTCTGCAGCCACATGGGCAATCCACCAAATGATGTGCAGCTGAATGCAGCAGTGTTGGCGCTGCGCTGTTGATATCTAAAAGCCGAGGCACAACTCCATAGCTCGAATCATGATGCATGTCTTGTTCGGCCTGTGAGAGCTGCAGCTCCTGCTCTTCTTCGAGTGGCCACAAAGGCCAACTGGTGATGACCTGACCAAGTCGCTGCCGATCATGCGAGAGAGGAAGATCTCTCAGCACCGGTAGAGACATGTCCTTAGGAAGGGCAAGGAGCCACCACCGCGTTCGACGTGACGGCAGTGCCAGATCCAAATGAAGAATGGTCGTTCTCCATTGGAAATGCATCACTTCACAAAAACGATCCATAGCGTCAGTAATGGGCCTGAGTCCACTCACTCCTGGCACGCACTCTAGCAGCAAAAAAGAACACTGGGTCAAGTAGGCAACATCCAGGATCCTGAAGTAAATGCTTGCCCTTGGATCGCTAAAGCCATGCATGGCCCCCATGGAACTGAAAGGTTGGCAGGGAAAGCCTGCAGCTAGTCCAGAACCCAACCCTGCCATAGCCTGGTGAAAGAGGCCCACAGCAGCCTTGCAAGAGACATCTCCTTGCACAACCCTTGGATAGAAGTTGGCCGCAAGATGAGCACAAGAAAAAGTAGAGATCTCCAGAGCAACGTGGGGCTCGATCCCCGTCATGAAGCCCCCATGCGAAATCCCTCCAAGGCCAGCACAAACTTCGGAAAGCCTGAAAAAATCTTCCTTCCTCTTTGGAGGCTCAATGACATGTTTTGAAGTCGGCAAAGGATGGAGAAGAAAAGCTCCTTCTGAGTTCTTTCGGCCAAGTTGCCATGAATGCAGGGACAGGCACAAACCACAAGCCGCCCCCAATCCCACAGGCAAAAAGGTCTGATGCGTCAAAGGATTCACCCAGTCATCTGAGCGCCTAATCAACCGTAAAGAGATCTCCATCCCCTCAAAATCCGTGGAAAGAGGCTTCCATATGGTGCGATCTAACTCCATGGCACTAACCGACCCAATCCGCTGACACCGCTAGCCTCCGGTAGGCTTGAGTCCAAGCTGGCCTACTGAAGAGTAAAGGCACTTTGCATGACACAATCGCCACCTGCATCAAAAACCACTTGCCGTTCACTGCGAACCAGGCTGAAACGCCGAAGCGGGACGCGTATACCCGCGAAGCTCCGAACTTGAAGAGTTCTTCATGGTCGTAGGTCTTGACTTCGAATCCCAAGGCATCGCACATGTCGCAGCAGCACTCGAACCATGAGTGCCATGCCACTGTCTTGGTACATGCCGTGTCCACGATCGCAAGGAGGCCACCCCGGATGAAGTCTGTCTTCTCTGTGTCCTCGGTGGCCGTGACAAAGCATGAATGAAGGGTGTTACAAACCTGCACCGTGTGGATGGTCATCTGCGCTTCTTGCGCTTTGTCGTGCTCTCCGCCTCTTCTGCCTTGCAACGGGCACTCTGGATCTTTGTGCCAACGGCCTTTCCGCTTGCACGCCGAGCAGTAGGAGCACCGGAGGCGCTCGTCCGAGCGCTTCTTGATCTCATCCATGTCGGCTCCACGCCCCTTGAGGGCTCCCTTGTACTTGGACTTTGCGTATTTTATGCTTGGTGCGCCTCCATCGCAACGTCCTCAGCCACCAAGTCGTCGGGCTCACCTGAGGTGTCTCCCTCAGAGGACTCTTCCATGGTCTCCGTCATGTTCACGGAGTGGCGGTTTCCTCACCGTTTGCCATCTTTCCATGCCTTGTCACCCCTGTTCCCACCAAGCGGCTTGCGGAGAGAACGATCTTGGATGAGTGCAGCTTGTTGACGCTGGAAAGAAGGGTGAGCTCCTCGCTTTCTGGCAGGCGCAAGTTGTCCAAGTACAACCAGCCCTTAAGCGGCGGCAGCTCGCAATGGACTTCCCTCAGCCTCAACACCAGCCTTTCGAGTTCCACATTAAAATCACGAACCGATTGGTCCCTGCGACGGCGGCAGCGCTTGAAGAGGTCCACCATCATGTTGGACACCTTAGTGATCTCCACCTCCATGAAGCGGGTCTGGATCCATTCAAGGAAGTAGCTGATGCCGTTCTCTGACGCCAGCACATCCACATCGAGCTCCTTGGCATACACCCATGCCTTCCCCTGCAACTCGTGATAGAGCGCCAAACCTCGTTGATCCGGCGGCATCTTGGTGCAGCGCAGCCACACCTGCACCTGCACCTTTCTAACATAGGAGCGAGCACTGCGTCCGACATCGCCGTCGGAAGCAGCTTCACCATCAAAGCTCGGAACCACCAGCTTCTCAGTGGGCTTCCCCCGATTGAACTCGCGTTGTGACCAACCATCCCAATCAAGGGGTTCATGCCACCTTCCACCAGCACCTCCTACACATTCATCATAGGACCCAGACCATCTTCCATTGACCATGGCGGTGGTGCGACTCACCTGAGCGGTGTTGATCTGGGCATCCGTCATCCAACCATCTGTTGAAGCACCACCACCACCATCCTGTTTGGACTCATTCGAACCCGAGCCACCTCCCGACCAAGGGTCGCAGCTCGCCCATGGTCTTCCCACATCTGGTCCTCCCAGTATTGGTCACACCACTCCCGTCGGGAATGCGATGGTGTGGACCGAAGGAAATCCACTGAGCCGGTCGCCTCCCGAGCGAATGTGGCCTCCAAGCTGGCCTCCACGGGATGGCCATCGCCCTCAAAACGAACCAGAACGCTCCGCTACCAATATTGAAGTAGCACGAACGAAATTCTGTCCTCAACCACTGAAACTCTTGTGCCTATACAGCGGGGAAACAAATGCTTCAAACACTTGAGGGTCCATCAACGAGCGACGGAGTCGATCCTTTCACAGGGTCTCACCGGAGGTCCTCACTCGTTTGGGTCCTGAAGTCCTACCCCCAGCAGCTTGGCGGCAAAGCTGCAAGGAGCAGCTTCAGGATTTCGACCGAGCAGTCCAAACGCACGCAGGCGCCTCAGGTTGCTCAGTGTGGTCGACCGGCGCGGCGGCACAGCGGCGGCAAGGTAGCTGACCCTGAGACCCAGTGAAATTGGTGACTCTCCACTAACTAATACTGTTTGTTGCTACATGCAACATGAGCATGGTCCCTTCTTCCTGACGGCTACGCTAGCAGCAAAATGCCAGCAAAATCAATGCCTCAACTAAAGAAGGTGAGTATGAAGGCAATGTTTCTTGCGTCCGGTCTGTATCCAATCTCCATCAACCAACCTTTGCTTCTAGGGGTTTTTGGGACTCTGTAGCAGTGACCTCTCACAGAAGCAAGCCTAAGCAGTGATGGTTGCAGGGACCTCTCTGTTCAACTTAGTCCCAACGACCGTCAGTCACGTGGCGCGGCGAGGTCCGTGGTCGCCCGGAACGCCAGGTTTCGATCGTCCGGATGAACAAGCTGGATGAGGGCGGTTGGAAGGAGATCAGGAGTCTAAACAACCTCCGCAAGCACAAGCTAGTGGATGATGCTTGGGATTCCGCGCTTGTTCAGAACGTCCATGGGTTGCTGATGCTGCGACGCTTGCTGCGACACGTCCAAACCAAGTTGAAGACATGGCTCCCGACGTCTCTCTTTCCGTGGCTCGAACCGGAAGCGACCGGTGACCGCTTCGGCCTGGGCGAGCGAGGCCCGCGCCGCCGACCGCCTCGACACACGTCGGAGCGAAGGGGCAAATGGGCGGCTCAAAGTCATGGTCCATGAACGGCATGTCGGCCGCAGCGGGATCCTGGCCGTTCCGGGGGTGGTTCCTGGGGTGGTTCCCGGGGGGTTCCAAACACGCCCAAAAGCGCGAAAAGGACAACGCGGGGGGAACGTCCCTTCTTCAGTCCCCGGCCGGAGGGGCGCAGGGGGTCGGTCACGAACCCGGCGCTCCACGTCCGTGACCGACCTCTCTGGTTTGATCGGACGTGCTGAGTCCCTTGCTAGCTTCACTGGAGTCAAACAATCTGACGAATTCTGCGAAGAAAACCCTCAACAACCAGTGCATGTGTTTCTTCCTGCTGAGTCCGTTGCGGAGAACCTGTGTCCAGCCGTCCAGGGCAGCTGGAAAGGGGGTGTGGTGAAAAAACTTGTCGTTCGTCATGGGACTCCGAGAGGATGGTCTTGAGAAACGATGCACATGCACTAAACCTTTGAAAAAGGACCCTCAGATTCAGCATGCATAGGTGAATCAGGAGTCGTTAATGTCAGATCTGCATAAAAGCTTGTATAAGGATCAAACATTTAGGAAAAAAGACACCTTCTCACAATGTATTGAGATTGAATCTCAAGAGAAACAACGCTAAACCGCCAGCAGGTCAGACTGACTGACTGAAGCAACTCAAGCAAGGCCCTGGTCTCCCAGTCCTGGTCTTGATCGAGTTGCTTTCGACCCTCTACAAGTACCGCCCAAGAACACCCCCCACAAGTATAGCGCCGTTTCAGCGGCCACTGGGAGCCAGAGCCCAAGTCCGGCCCAAGTCCGCCCTGACCGACTCGTCCCCCGACTGCGGCACCGCAGAGGTCGGCGGCCGGGTTTCGGACCGCACCTCCTCCAAGACCTGCCGCACCTGCGGCAAGGGTCAGGTCCGATGAGTGTCGGTCAGGGTCCTTCGTGTCACGCGACGAGTGTCATGCGGCTCGACGTCCGGTCCATCCTCCGGCTCCGTCTCTCCATCTTTGAGATCCAAAAGAAGGAAACATCGCCAAAGGAGATCCGCAAACCGAAATTTTCGGTCCACATGGAGGAAGGATCTGCAGCTGCCCGTCACTTCTCAGAGGGTCGAGCAGAGCGAAATGAGCGAAGAAAGGACCTCACTTGGTCAACTTCTCGAGTTCGTGGGTTGGCATGAGTTGGCATGAGTTCGTGGGCACTTCATCGCCGAAAGATCCTCCAATATGGAGGAAGTCTCAAGAAATGCAAGAGAGCTTGTCCACCAACTTTATCGTTTGAAATCCTTAGCTAGCTTCTGACGTTTTTTTCTGTCTTAAACATGCAGCAAACCCATGAGTGTTCCGTTGTCCAGGAAAACACCGGCAATCGGACCAGAAAAACAAGTGTGTAAAGATTGTGATCTGTCAACTTTGCATCGCAGGAAGAAAGTTGTTCCTTCATGTCAACTCCAACGATATAGGTTAGAGGCCATCGCTATTGGGTTGGAGGCCACAGGATGTCAGTGAAAGAATGAACGAACTACATGACACGTCTGCAATCCTAGCTTTGGATGGACAACCTCTTTTTCAAAAATTGTTTGATGTGTGAAATCCAACAGAAAATGCATTTGTCTTCCACGTCTTTTCCAGGAGTTTTCCGTATTTTTCTTCGTTATTCGATTCACGAATTTGAAACATATTTCTTTCATGCAACAGGAAGTCAAGCTCACCGCGGATTCAGTGACTCGAACTTCGAAAAATGTCCCAGGTTTCCACCAAGAAAACACGTCACCACGCGCGGTCGGCGCCGCTGTCGGCGGCGCGCAGTCTAGACCCCCCCCATTGGGATCGCCTGGAAGGGACATCCCACGATCAGGGCCTTGTGCAAAGGCCTTGGTGAAGGGAGGGGGGATCATCTGGTGCTTTGCAAACAAAAAAGAACTAAGGAGAGTCCGACCTGAAGATCAAGCTGGCTTCACCTCTTTGTGGGAGGAGATTCATGAAACTTATCGCAGGACAGGTCCTCTCTGCGAAGGATGTATGTTCGGGGGTCCTGGCCCACAGACATTGACGTACGCTGGATCGACGAGGGGGGCACGAGATGTAACGCTATCCTGGCGCAAACACGTGGACTCCGTAGTGCTCACTGCGCAGTGGCTCAACATGCTCTTGCTACATTTCAAGTTGTCCTCTCCAGAACCATTTGAGGTAGAGGACCTGGTGGTCGAAACGGGCAGCTTTGGCCTTCAGGTGGGAAAACGCAGCTTTGGCCACCATTTTCAGAGGCGGTTGGTTGGTGCACAAAAAAACGTGACCGCTCATGCATCTCCCAAGCCCTCTAGCAGCGCCATGCCAACCTGGACCTGGTGGTGGATGCACGGGCCTACGGACCCGACGGGAGTGCCGAAGGGACCGAGCGGCAGACGAAGACTTCTTGGTGTCCGCCAAAAGTAATTGGGGTTGGCCCCTATCGGTTTTGCAAGGTTTTGATTTTGACCCATTCAGAAATACTTAAGGCGGCTCATGAATAAAGTACATGTCCGGAAGTCTTGTCGGATATGGCTGTGGGTCATAGCACCCTGGTTGACCCTGGTTTGGTGGATGAGCTTTTGACCCACTGCTACATTGAAAATGGTTGAACTGGTGCTGTAGGCTGCTTAAATCAATGGAAGCCTATACTATAGGGTGGACACAGGGTGGACACATCTATACTCCTGCAAATCATGTGGGCTCCCATTGCCATGACGGCTGTCAGGCACTGACCTTCATCATTCTTGGAATGAGACCTACCAGCACCCTCCTGGCCAGGCTGTTTGGAGACCCGACCACAGGTGGTGAACCTGGGCACCTGTTGCCACCTGTTCAGCACCTGGAAGCGACCTTCCGAGGGACCATCTGTCCCTCCGGGCACCTGTTAACAGGTGGTCTTTGCTCCATGGGACCAGACCAGTGATATCAGGGGTGGTCTTTCCTCATCCGACCAGACCAGCTACTCACCCTCGGTGGGAAACACAGATCGAGACGAGAAAGGGCTCTTAGACTTTGGCTGAGTTTGCATGGTAGCCTTTCTATCCAAAAAGGGGGCAACAAACAGCACGTTCGATGCTTTTGTTGAGCCGTTGAGCCATACCTATTTGTCGATCTAACCTGATCCATTGAGCCCCACGTCCTTGGGCGGTTCCAACAATCGGGCATCTCCACGTGCCACCCGAAGAGTCGGCGCGCGCGCTCGTCGACCCGCTCGGACCGAGCCGGAGCCCGGCGCACGGCCGAGGACCGAATGCGGGTCACCGATCATCGCACCGGTCGCCACGGGGGTTTCGGTCGGAGAGAAGAACACGATGCACCACAGCCACCGCCGATGTTCTGCGTTCGATGAAGGCCAAAGGCCAAAAAGAACACTCAAGCGTGGCGCAGCTGCGCTTCTGGGGCCGGACATCTGGTTTGAACGCACATGTCTCGGAGCGTCAAAAGGAACTTCACGGACTGAACTTCTCAAATGTGATAGATGGATTGGGGGCGGACAAGGATCTGCATTGAAACTGGGAGGGCCCCGAAGCAATTCGTTTAATTCTCTAGACTCAGCCTCAGCCAATTCCGACATCCACTTGAGAGGAAATACTCTCAAGAATTGAAATACTCCGATCAACCAACCTGCCACCCGAAATACTCTCCCGCCACCGGTCTCTTCTCCTCTCTTCCACCTTCGCTCCCACTCTCCAACCAGGAGACGTGGGCGGCGCTCGCCGCGGAGCGGGCGGAGGCGTCGGGTAGGGCGAGGGTGATCGGCACGGGGTGGTCCGACTGCGTGGCGTGGCCTGCGCGAGGTGCGTGGACTGCATGGAGTTCGGAGAGCGCTGTCTGCGCAAGGATGAAGGATGGAGGAAGACTCCTGGATGGAGTCTTCTGCGCGGGACCAAACGCAGTGGCTTTTCATTGCGAAAATCTTCTGTTTCTGAAAGTGATGTCTTACTCTACACTGCTGCACTCTCCTCTTAATCATGTTCTTTACATTGAATCAGCAACGTGGAAGCTGTCTTTTAAACTTCTTTTGACCATAGAGTAGACCATAACTAGACTATAAGCGAAAATACCTTGCTTAGTTGAGCATTTGGAGGAGAAACTGTGCGAGTTCCCTCTTTGCACGAAATCCAATGCAATCCCAAAGACCTTCAATCGTGCTGAGCACCAATCAAAAACAACTTTGGAAACTACTACTCTCCCTGGAACTAACATGGAAGTGGAAAGGCCCCACTTAACTTCCATGAGAGTTTCAGGGGTGCATATATATACAGTGTGTATATATATATATATATATCAAATCTCTCATGGGTTTCAGGTTTCTCAAGTCTTATGGTCTTTTTCGGGGACCCTAGCTTTTTGCCGGGGTTCCCGATGGGACCGGACTCGGCTGACGAGACATGTTGGACCAGTCCTGGTCTGTTTTTCGTGTAAAAGCCTGCAGTTGATTCGGGATGACCCGCAGTTAAGCCAAATGAATGGTGGGCCAGGAAGCCCAACCGGTTTGGGAATGTCCCAAGGACTGAGCAAGTCAGACCCTGGAACCTAACGGGTGTCCGCACCCACTGCGGGTAGACTCCGTGGTCGGGGGAGGGCGGGGAGGGCCCCTATTCCGTGGTGGCGAGGGAACACCGGTGTCTTCTTCCAAGTCGCTGTGGGAGAACGAGGGGATCCACAGTCTGGTGATGTCAGTTCACACCTGGGCCGGCTGGTTCTTCGGCCACCGCTGGGCCCTGCGGTTTTTCGGTCTGACCGCGGTCTGGACGACGGTCTGGTGGAGCCGGAAGGGCTGGGGGAGCCCTGCCATCTTCCCAAAGCAACAAAGAGAATTGATCCAACAACTGGGATCATGCATCAGTACCTTGTGAAGCCCTCTGAAGGTGATCATGAAGCTCACCCACGTCCATCCTCAACCAACCTTGCACCAAGGCGATCGAAAAGCAACTGCGCACCTACAAATCACCTCTCCCTAGGAACGCTCTGAAAAAAAGAATATTTCATGTCAATGACTATAACCCTGTCAAACCCCATCCCAAGTACCGTCCGGGATGAGAGTCTCACAACGACCGTTGATGAACCTCAACAGGGAATCAGCCACCCCGCTTGCCGGACAGCAACGCAGTCCCCGGACAGTCCCCACTCAGCACCCAAATCCGTGGCGTTTTGCACCGGTTCCGATGGCTTCGAAACTCCTGGGGTCCCCTGGAACCGACCCTCGAACCGACCCCACCGTTTCCCCGTGGACCGAGCCGGAACCGGCCCCAACGCCGAGGACCGAATGCGGGTCACCGATCATCGCACCGGTCGCCACGGGGGTTTCGGTCGGAGAGAAGAGCACGATGCACCACAGCCACCGCCGATGTTCTGCGTTCGATGAAGGCCAAAAGCCAAAAAGAACACTCAAGCGTGGCGCAGCTGCGCTTCTAGGGCCGGTCATCTGGTTTGAACGCTCATGTCTCGGAGCGTCAAAAGGAACTTCACGGACTTAACTTCTCAAATGTGATAGATGGATTGGGGGCGGACAAGGATCTGCATTGAAACTGGGAGGGCCCCGAAGCAATTGGTTTAATTCTCTAGTTCCGCCAAAACGGTTTTGGAATGTTTTGGGCAACCTTTTTTTCACCCTTGATCCCTTGTTTTTCACCCCGCCCTTTTTTTCCACCCTCCACCTTTCTTTTTCACATTTTTTTTTCACCCTCGAACCTTCTTTTTTCACCCCCTACCCTTTCTTTTTTGACCCTCGACCCTTTCTTTTTCACCCACCCTTCCTTTGCTTGGTGTGTTGGTTGGTTGGCTAGCTTGTTGTAATGCAAACCAAATATCGACAGCCTTTGGGGAAAACACCGGGTTGTGTGGCTTTGGTTGCTTGGTTTGTTGGTTGCTTGGTGGGCTACCAATGCAAAGCAAGTATCGACAGCATTTGGGGAAAACACAGTTTGGTTGCTTGGTTTGCTGGTGGTTTGCTACCCTTTCTGTTTTACCCCACTTCCTTTGGTTGGTGTGTGGTTGGTTCGGCCTGCTTGGCTTGTTGGTTGATTGGATTTGGGGAAAACACATACAGTGATGGATGGATCATGGACAAGGAGAAAAATTGTAACTGTTTGGTGTGTTGGTTGCGTGGCTTGCTTGCTGTTGATTGCTTGCGTGGTACAGTGCTTGATGGACATGTACTTTTTTCTATTTGTGTGCTTGGTTGATGGATGGATGGATATGGATGGATATGGATGGATATGGATGGAT